GGTGGGGGGTGCCTGGAGCTGAGGGGGCTGGACAGCACTGGGGGGGGAACGTGGTGCTGGGGGGCTCGGGAGGATGGGGAGCACTGGGGGGGCATAGACATGAGGGGGCTGCACAGGGCTGGGGGGGCCTGGGAGGGTGGGGGTATATAGGATTGGGGTGGGGAGGGGGCTGCCCAGGGCTTGGGAGGGGGGAACATGGTCCTTGAGAGGCCCAGGAGGATGGGAGGTCCTGGGGGGGTGCACAGAGCTTGGGGGGCTCGGGAGGATGGGGTTGTGTATATCTAGGGGTGCTGGGGAGGGGCTGCACAGGGCTGGGAGGGCACACAAAGCTGGGGGGGCCCCATTTGTGGCCCCCGCCCCAGCCCCGCTCCCCCCAGGATGGAATCCACGGAGAAGTGCGAGGCCGTCATCACCCACTTCAACGGGAAGTACATCAAGACACCCCCGGGGGTGCCAGGTGGGCTGGGGGGGCTCGGGGGGGGCTTGGGGGGGGGCTGTGGGCCGGCGAGGGGCACTGACAGCCCCCCCCAGCCCCCCCAGACCCGCTGCTGTGCAAGTTTGCTGACGGGGGGCAGAAGAAGCGGCAGAGCCAGAGCAAGTTCGTGTCCAACGGCAGAGCCTGGGCCCGGGATGGCGACGCGGTGAGGGGGGGCCCTGGGAAGGGGGGGTCACACCCCGTGGCTGGCGGGGGGGGGCTGCAGGGCAGCGCTGACCCTTCTCCCCCCCCAGGGCACCGTGACCTTGGCCTACGACCCCGCGACGGCGCTGCAGAACGGGTGGGTGCCCCGGGGTGCCCCCGGGCCCGGCGGGGCGGGGGCTGCCAGCCATGGCCCCCCCAGCCCTGACCCCCCACCCCGCAGGTTCTACCCGGCGCCCTACGGGCTGGCCCCCGGCCGGATGCTCCCCCCCGCTGCCCTGGCCCCCTACCTGCCCTCCCCCGTCTCCTCCTACCAGGTATGGGGGCTAAGGGGGTCCTGGGAGGGGGGGTCCCCACCTGGGGAGGGGTGGGGTGCTCAGGGGAGCCCCCCCATCTGCTCCCACCCACAGGTCCACGGCCCCACCTGGATGCACCAGTCCTACCTCGTGCAGCCCACGGTGAGCGTGGGGCCCCACCCAGTGCCACGCCCATGCCTGGCCCTCCCTGATAGGTGGGAGGGGGTGCAGGAGCTATGCCCAGTGCCCCACCCACACATGCCCCTCCCACTTTGCCCAGAAATCGAACTCACTTTAGACAAGACACGCCCATTTCCAGCAGCCCCCCCAGCCCCTCTCTGGGGCTCCCTCTCCCCTTGTGTCCCTCCCCCCGTGTCCCTATGGCCCCAGCCCCGTGTCCCCACCCCGTGTCCCTCTGTGCTTCCCCCAGTCTCACCTCGGAGTCCTGGTGGCCTCAATCCCCAGGTCCTCACCCATGACCCCACCATGTCCCCGTGGTGTCCCCCCGGTGTCCCCTGTCCCCCTGTCCCTCCCTGTCCCCCCCTGTCCCCCTGTCCCTCCCTGTCCCCCTGTGCTGACTGAGCCGTGCAGGGTGCGGTTCTGGCCCCCGCTGTGGAACACGCCGTCCCCCTCCAGCCCTCCGTGGTGGCCCCCCTGGCCCAGCAGCTCGGCCACCTCTCACTGGGCAGCACCGGCACGGTAAGACCCCCCTGACCCCCCCTGACCCCTCCTCGACCCCCCCGACGCCCCACCCCACCCACACCACCGCTGTCCCCAGTACGTCCCCGCTGCCGCCGCCGTGCCCGGAGCCTTCATCCCTCCGTACCCACCTGTGCCACCGGCCCTCCCGCTGGAGGTGAGTGGGGGGTTCAGGGAGGGGCTTAGGGGGGTTTCTGGGGGAGCAGCGTTTGGGGGCCCACTAACCCCTCCCCGCAGGACGGCGGAGCCGCCCCGACCCACGGCCCCATCGAGTCGCCGTCCGAGCCCGGCGCCTTCCCCTACCCCTACCCCAAGTAGCGGCGGGGGGGGCCCGGCCCGAGGGACCCCACCCACCTCTTGGGAGGGGCTGCACCGGGACCCTCGCCCGGCTTGAGGGACCCCGTGCCCCCTGGGGGGGCTGTGCCGGGACCCCCGCCCGGTGCTGCCCCCCCC